TGGAAGATCTTTACTCACTCTGTCATTCCTGTATCCTGCTTTACTAAACAGCCTAGTCCCATCAGCCTTCATACCTTGTGCTTCTTCAGCAGGCTTTGGTAGAGTTTCAGCTGTCACCTGAACATTTGCTTGGTTTTCTTCTGCACATGAAAAGTAAAGAAAGTCAGTACCACACACTAATTTTAGAACAAATTTAACTTACCACGTTCCCTTAAGCAATACATAGAATACCTTGTATAGAAATGTTGGCTTGTTGCTACTAATGCTATCACAATTCTAAAAAACAAAACAAAAAACTGACCAAACCACCACCCCCTCCCAAAACACACAAAACCAAACGCGCAAACAAGCTACCAAAACATTAATGCAATAAGCATAATTTGGAGGAATGTTTGTATTGAAAAGTATTTCATCCCATATCCTGTATTTTTCAGATTCCTCTCAATGAGCAACGTGCAGTACAGGCGCTATGACTCACTACATTAAGAGTCCTGTTCAAGATCATTATACTTAGTTGGAACAGTGATGCTTAATATAGCAGGACACTTTTTTGCATTAGCTGTCCTACTTTAGAAATATCTGTGAATTGAATAGCCATTTTTCTCCCTTCCTGAGTGCACTCTAGTCAACAAATGATCCACAAGAAGGCAATGAAGATCGTATCCTATCCAAGCCATCACGGATATTACTAAACACTTCAGTAAAATCACAAAGAAGCTACTAAGTCAAAAGTGACAGAACATTAAAAGAAAGAAAGAGTTAATATTACTAAACACTTCAGTAAAATCACGAAGAAGCTACTAAGTCAAAAATGACAGAACATTAAAAGAAACAAAGAAGAAGAATTGCTGAAGAATATCTTCAAAATCAAAACGTTACATGGAACATATTCATTCAAACTACTAGAATCCTTTTAGCCTTTTTTTTTTTTTTTTGATTTTCAGCAAAGGACCAAAACAATGGCACACCTTCAAACAAGTAAGTACAAAGGGGTTTTTTTGGTTTTGTTTTATGGTTCATTTCAGTAAACAGCAGTAAATACATAAATTTTGTGCCACTGTAATCCATGAGGACACTGATTAAAATTTTTCGGTAATTTTTCAAATAAAGGGGGATCTGGGAGAGAAGCAAGGAGTAGATACAAACATACAACTAAAATATGCACCTTTGTTCTTCAGAGATCCTAGTATTTCAGTGCAACGGATCCTTGAAAACTTCACCCCATGCTGATTTAAGTGAAGCTCGTCCTGAAACAAGACAGAAATACCACTGAAGGCTGATCAGTTCTCTGATTATTTTTGCACATTCCAGGAACTGCACTTGCTCAGGTAGGTTAGCACTGAAGAGAGAACCCACCAAGAAACCTCAGAAAATATCAGCCCTTGGAGGGAGGAAGAAAAATAACCAATTTATGCACAGCTTGATTTTAAGATTGACAATACAGGCAGCCCTGCCTAGGCCAAATTTAAAACAGATCCTGTGTGATCAAAGTGATCGGGGAGGAGGCTAAAAAAAATCATCTCCCAAAGTGAGTATTTTCAGAATCATTCAACGCAAAGATTTGTTACTTGTTTAGAAAGAAAGAGGTATAGAATGGCCCAGATACTTGTTCTTCATACGTACATTTGAAAGTTGTTAAACATCCAGTGCTTTCAGAATGGTTAAGCCAAACTGACTGATGTTTTGAGTTGGAAGTCTAGGTCATTCAATAACTATGGAAAATTTAATGAATTCTGATTTCACATATTTACAAGTAAACCAAACATATCCAATTCTAGAGTTACAACAGCAAATTCTTTTAGCTTTTACATCCAGTAGTACATGTAGAATATGTATCTTACCCAGATATTACCTAGCTGATGTATGTTTAGCCACAATACTTTTTTTCTCTCCCATCTCCTGTTTCTGACAAACTGAAGAGAATTGAGTTGAATTAGCTATTCAACTGAGAATCGAGGAGTCACTAAAATTCTGTATATTGCTTTCCCTGAAAACAGTCATGCATGTATTTCTGAAACCTTGAGGTAGTTAGAGGCAAACAATTTTCTAATACCAGTAATCAAAACAACAAAATTAAGGGAGACAAGGGAAATCTGAGTTATACCTAGGGAGTATAAAAAAATGCCACCTGCTGTAAAAACACAAACACACATAAAAAAAAATGCAACTTTTAATAGAAAAATTTGGGAATCTTCAGTTTTTAATAGAGTATTCTTCAGCAGTTTTTATCCAATACTAGCATATTATTTATACATCAAATTTACTTTTCTTTACACTCAATGAGCCTTTGCATAGAAAGAGCATTTTTATCATCAGTGTTTGTTCTAGGGGAAAAGGAAAGTGACCATGTAAGCCTTATTAATTTGAAAAAGGACACCAAAATATTTATAAATGAAAACTCTAAAAGTGAAGAAGAATCTATGTTTTTAGATAAAAAGAACCCTTGAAACCCTAAATTGGAGCCCTTGTGACACTGTAATACTACTACAAGACTAAAATAACTATTATTTAATGATTAGTACCTTCACTGGGGATATCATCTGTGGAATATATTGTACCCATAAGGACATGGAGACTGGCCAAGGCAAGATTGTTTAGTTGTTTCTTTTCTTCTCTTTTTGGGCACCTGTCTTCTTATTGTTGCATATCTGCCTGATACAATTCCAATAGTATTCACAAAAGGGAAAAGAAAACCTTGGTATTTGAAAATGCTGTTGGTTTACTCAGTGATAAGTACTAGCTTTAACTGAACCCTTGAAAACCAAAAGAATGATACATATTACAGAAGAAACAAACACAAAACAGGAAACCCCATAGACAAAATTCTCTCCCTAGTCACCATAACCCTGAACTCAAAATATCATGCAAACATCAATTTTTCTATTGTCTTACTTGTTTTGACCACGAACTTTCCTCAGGGCTTAAAGCACCGCATTCAGGATACTCCTCAGCATCTTGTCCCTCTGTATCTTCTTTCTGGCATCCACCAGTAGAAGAGTCTAGTTTCCTAGAGTCTCTTTTTCGGGTTTCTTCATCCTCTTCACGGCCTCCCGATTTCAGTAACTCTTCAGTGCAAGATTCTGCCAGCCCGTGAGAAGTCACCTCGGACGCATCACCCAAACTCTCCAGTTCCTGAGACAAGGTTTCTACCCCAGAAGTCCTGTGATGCTCAGATGGCAACGTGTCCCTGGGTGCCCGCACAGCTGTGGGGACATCAGACTTTGCAGCCACTCCAACCCCAGGCTCCGACACAGCCGTGAGCTCCGCGGGGAGGCTGCCCGGCAGCCCTGCGCACAGCTCCTCCGCTACGGCAGACATGGATGAATCAAGGAGCGCTTCCACCCCAGAGGAGAGCATCAGGGCAGCTGGAGACCTCTTAGGTGGAGCTTGTCACGGTTTACCCTAAAACCACATGCGGTGTTAAAATCAACATGCACAAGAAGCAATCTCTGCATTAAAACCAAAAGCTTCATCCTTCCCAATGCAAATGTGGGTGTTCAAGGGTAGCTCCAAAAAAAAATTTAGGCGGAGCTGAAAAGCACTTGGGCATTAAAGCATTTGCTTCAAAAAGAAGTGAAGAGCACGCGGACAAACGGACTCCTAACTCTCATTTTCACGTTCAAACGTCTCCCAGCAGCTCCCCCCGTCTCTCACGGGGAACTTGGCTGTGGAAACGATGATCTCCGGGGCTCCCATCGCTCCTCCTTGGCTACCGCATCCTTTACCTCCCCGCGACACGGGCGCCTGAGGAGCGAGGACCTTTCTGCCTTCCCGGACTGGAAGTGGTTCCCAGGACAACCACCGCGCGCTGCTCCTGGCGCACCGGCCG